ACTTTAAAGAGTCTAAAATACACAGATATCAGATTATATCTGTCACAAGCTGTCAAAAATATTTTCTAGAAACCTAAAATTGTCCAGGGATTGTTCTAATCCACATAATCTAGCAGAGTACTAATGCTCACATTCATATTTTTGTAACAGCAAATATATGTGAAAAGATACATACTGTCATCCAGAACTTCAGAGTTGGTGGCAGAGTGAAGATGAGGGTGTTTTTCCCCCTTGACATGGATTCAGAACAGCAATTTCACACGAAAGCAATTACCTATGCACTGGATTGCACTGATCACTTCCAAAATGTTTGCAGCTTCAACTGCTCTTTCTTACTTACAAATAAAAAAATAAGCAACTCCAGAAAAGAAGGAGCTTCCATGACTTTACATTAATACAAAGAGCACTTTCAGTATTGCATAAATATAGAGGAAATAAAAGGAAGAAGAAATTCACATAAGAAGATGAAAGTTAAGCCCTGAGTGTGAGAATATGACATTAAAGAAACTTCTTGACTGCTAAATGGTTATAAGGTTTTTCTATGGGGGGATGAGGAAGTTTCAAAATTAGATTGTGATGACATAGCACAACTCTGACATTGAATTGTCCTAATAAAATGGGTAAAATTTATGGTATGCAAATTACATCTTAATAAAGCTGCTAAATAAGGAAAATAAGAAACAGAGTAAGTCCTAAAGATAGCCAGATAGAAACCATAGAATGATTAAATAAAAATGAACTCAAGAAAGAAGAAATAGCAAATGCACATAAATAGCACATTTATTCTAATATCTGCTCCAGCATGTTTTGAGACACCCTTTTAAATTAATGAGGATGGATTTATTCGGAATGTTCTTCCCAAATGGAGTCTGTTATAGTGAGTGGATAGCAAGACATCTCTCTCAAGTTGTTCTTTCCATTCTAGCATGAGGACCTACTGATTTTTACTGGCATAGATCATTGGAAACTCGACTCAAAACCAAAATCAAAACAATGCTGACATGTATATTTTTAACATAAATATCAACAGAAGATATGCTGAGTGGTTTATAATCCCTTAACGAGGGTTAGGTTTCATTCATATCTACTGGAAGCAGTAATGGTTGTTTTGAAAAGCAAAATCTAAAGGCGTGATGTTAAAAATGATTGGTACTTACTACGAGGGCAAACTAATGAAGATTTCCCAACATATTCTTTGGAGAAGCTGGATCTGCCTCGCCACCTACCTCTCTCTTCCAGGGACCCAGACTGGCTCCTTGCCCTGCTTTTTTATAAGGATACTTTTTATAAGGATACAGGACCATAAAGCATGAGAAGTCTAAAATATATAAATGGAACATCATGCTCAGTTTAAAATATCTGGCATGAATGAATTTTTCTGTATCTTACATACTTTCTTTTCTATTTCAGAGCACCCCCTTCATTAGATATAAAACAATCTGATCCATCAGTAAACAAAAGGGATCTTTAATCTCAGAGATAATTTAATTTTCAAAACTTATTTAGGCCAGTTGCTGATCTCCCAGACAGACTGTTACCAAATAGTCAGATAATTACCCTAAACATCTGACTTCAATACATTAGGAAGCAAAGAGGCAGATTGGACGTAATTACTATACCTTATGAAATTATTACTAATTGCAACATTAAATATTGTCAGAAATCCAAAACAAATATTCCTTCTTTTAACTCTAATTAAACTGATTTCCAAATTATTATTAATTACTTGTATGTCAACAAAATAGATGTTTTTTGGCCAAGGGCGAACTTAGCAGAGATATAAATCTCAAGTACTTTCAACCGCAAAGAGATTGAAAATACAATCAGAGTTGACAACATCTTAGGTAAAGACAGAATTAACTACCTGTCTCTACTAGCAAACATCTTGTCCACAATTTTTGTTGATAAAATAAGTGATTTTTAGAATGTATCTACATAGTGTTAAAAGCTTAAGTGAATAGCTAAGACAATGTTTCTATATTTTCTCTTCTATAAACAAATTTGACACTTATTCCAAATTTCCAATAAGAATTATAATTTTTTTTGAGAAAGCAGGGTTTATTTCTTTCACTTTCCCAAATACTTTTGTATACAGCGGGTATTTAGCAAATGGTGTTTACTAGTTTATTCTTCTCTGTATTTCTTTTATAGTATACTTATATTGCATTGCATTATGGCTTAGGTTTATTCATTTCTCAAAGAATTATTGACTACTATTAGTATGTCTAAAAGTAGATAATGAAACTGAAGTTTAGAGAAGTCACCATGGTTCCAGAGTCTTGCAAATATGACTTCTAGTGCATAGTTTTTATTATTTTCACACACACATGAATATTTAACATTCACAGAGCAGGGATTGACGACATCCTATAACAAACTACATTTGCAAGGAGCTTACGGTGGATATATATTTTTGTTTTGTTTTGTTTTTCTTAGCATATATTCTTTGTTGATAATCATATGCTGAGAATTTCTCCTTAGGTAAATAATGTACAGAGGTCTAAGTGAATCAGCATCTTCTGGGCATAAAAATTAGTTCTATAAGGAGCATGTGTATTAAATTAAGAGCCAATTAGTTGCTGTAAGGCTTTTTCCCAGGACTTCTGGGAAAAGAATTCTCACCCTCTGCATCCTTTTTTCTACTATCTGAGGGAAACCTGGGTGAGAGAATGGGGCCAACTCAGAGGAGGTAAGACTGAGAGATTAAGAAAAAGAAATCTGATTAAGGTGACACTTCATCATTATTTTTCAAACAAACACTTGCATAGTGCTTACAATGGGACCAGGAAATATTTTGAGTGCTTTACACATACTACTCTCTGATTTATCTAAACAAACCTATGAGGTGGATACTACTATATTCTTACTTTATAATTGAGAAAACTGGGACACAGAGAAGTTAAGAAATTGCCTAATATCACACATTTAATATGTGCAGGAGCAGGGATTTGAATCCAAGTGAACTGGCTCCAATATTTTTGCCCTTGGCCATTATGCTAGGGCCATACTTTGAGTCCTTACATCAATGGTAAGGTGATACATATTTAACAATAAATTCGTGAAAGAAGGGGAAAAAAAAGAAAGTAGGGAAAGAGGGAAGAAGGAAGGCAGGGGAAGGCAGGGAGGGAAGGAGGGAGGGAGAAGGATGGAAGGAAAGAAGGAATGAAAGGAAGAATAATTTTCCTAATGTAAATATTCTCACTGTGACCAATTTCAATCCATTAGCATAATGCCATTTGGTTTGCAAAATTTCCCCAAATTCAATAATTAGAAAGTTGGTACAAGCCAGCTCTGGTACTCTCTTCCAGAAAATTGCATTTTTGTAGACCTATAATATTCCTTTTGGTTTAAGTCACTTTTGGTTGGGTTTTCTGTCTTTTGCAGTATTAAAGAGTTTTAATTCTTAATATCAAGTTCCACAGATAATGAGACACTTTCACATAAATTACTAGTTTCATATTAGACCTCCATAATAGATAACCTCATGAGATGGGTAAATCACTCATTAGTTTTTCCTGCTTGCTTATCAGAAACCAGGCCGGAAGGGGTCATGCATTTGGCCTATGTAGTACTAGTGACATAATTTGCCAGATCCTGTGAAAATTGAGAATGTGGAATACCTTGTTCAAAAGTTGCTGAGACTTTAAGATGGAGACAGCAGGGCATTAAACTAAATGCATGACCCTTCTAAGCATGGCATCCTGTACAACTGCACAGGATACACATCTATGAAGGTGGCCCTGGATCTATGTCACTTTGAAAAGTGAAAGAGATGGCATTTAAACTCAAATCTAAAAGTTCCATAGCCCATAATTCCATACTCTATCACATTGTTGCCCACAAAGTTAGGGATCGGTAAACACATTGCTTGTATGTTCATGTAGAATTTGTAATTTAAATCTTTAATGATAGTAATATTTTGTATTTTTTAACAATTTGAGGTAAACACATACATATTTACACTCAGGGACTTCTCTGTAGCAACAGTTATATATTACATTACAAATATGACCAATCTTAATTTCTTATTTATATTATGTTTCCTTTAGGCAACATTAAAAATAAATCTTGCCATAAATTTGTTGAGCAATGTATATTACACATTTTTTACTTTTCAAACAGAGCCAGAAAAAGGAAACACATAATATTTTACTTATTAGATTTTTAATTATCCTACTGCTCTGTCCCCTGTCACACAGAGCACCCAATTGCTTCAGTTTTAAAAATTTAGGTCACTCGATATCCTGGGGGTTAAAAAAATAAAACATATTCACTTTTATTTCTCACTACAAAATTTCAGAAATACCTCTGTTACTTCCTCATGGAAAACATGGGCCTAAGTACAGCTGTTTACAGTCAATTACTATTTTTCTAAGTGTCGAGCTCAGTTGATGAGTTTTATTACTTAGATTTTCACATTCAAAAATCATTATATCCCATGACAATATTTTGTGATACATGATAATGAAGTCAATGAGATGGGGAAAACATTTTATAGAAGATAACATTTAGAAGTTGTATTATGTGATTTTATGTAACATCTGGGTTCTACTACTCAATTTTTGATAATTTTAAAGAAAACAGAAAACTCTCCACCAAAATAAATAGCTCAATAATGCTTCAACTCTATGCAAACAACCAGCAGATAGCTTATTATAAATTATAATCTAGAAGCAAAGTTTCAATTTAAACATTGCTCTCAACATTTCTATTTACCTGTTGACTAATCTAGGTTACTTAATTTTCATTTATGTCTGAAACATAAGAATCTGAGAGGAAGAATATTCCAGCCTGGTTCTCTAGAAATGTGACAAAATGGTCCAAGTTAGTGAATCTATACGTGATTGTGCTTTAAAACTGATTTTCTAAAACATTTTAAAGCTACAATATTTGTTAATAAGTAATGAAATGGATGCAACACTACGGAAGGGAGATTACACTGATATGAAACAGAGCAACTCAACTATATATGATGTATCTATTATTTGTAGTTGTCTTACCTGCTCAGATCTGTTCTGGTGTTGGTATTGGTATTGAGCAAAGGTATTGCGGGAAGAAGTAATTTCATCCTCAAATTGCTTCTTCACCTTGGCCAAACCACCAGGCACTGTGCACATTTCTGATTCTTCCATCATCTAGAATAATTTAAGAAAAAGGAAAATTCAGCTTTACAGTTGTGTAAGAATTTTCAAACTATTTTAAACATAGTCAACAACTACTGATAGGCAGTATAAAAAAGCTATTAACATATACAATTATTTCAGCAGGCTTTTACTAAAAACCTTAAATATAGTATTTCCATGTTGTTTTCTCATTAATCCATCTTTTGAAATGGAGTCAGAAGAATCTTCAAAGTATTGATATATTCTCCTTATTGCAGATACATTTTGATATCTAGACATTAGATCTCTTTTACTGCACAGTATTTTTCTAATATATGTTCTAATAGATATTAGAATAATGGATTCAATTTTAAGCCACAATAATGTTGTCATTAAAATCTCAAACATCTATATAAGCAACACATTATTTAGAATAATTGTTAAAATTATGTGACTCATTCCAATTTTTTAAATTATGAAGAATGAACAAAATAAAAAATGTCAACATATTCTTTATGCAAAATATTAATATCAGTAATAATAATAGCTACTTAAGGCATAGTTAAGTGATTTTGTATATATTCATACATAGTCTGTCATTTAATACTTCTGCATATCCTGTGAGATGCGGACACCTATTACCCACATTTTAAAATAAGAAAGTTGAGGTGTGGAGAAATAAGACAGCTTGTTAAGCTATCACAGCTAGGACATGGATGTTGACATTAGAAATTCAATCCACATGTGTCTGTCTTAATCACTAGCTTCAAAGAACAGGCAGAAAAAGAGCAGCTATACTCCTACAGGACTGACACACCCCAGGTCTCTGCTCTCAGCACTGGCACGTTAGAATGAGGCCTTTAACGTGAGAAGGGTTCTGATTTATCCTTGCCATTTTGTAGGTGAGAACACTGATTTCAGTATTTATCATTGGAAGGAACTTGAGAAGCACTGAGGAATTCTGTCAGATCTTACTGCCTTTTGGAAAGCTCCAAAGTGGCTCAGGGGCGCTGTTTTGGTGATTCAGCACACTTCAGAGCCCAGCAGACACTCAAGCCCAGATGGAATGACAACTTTCAAGCAAACAGGCCCCAGGCCAGCCTTCCCTCCTCCAGGAAGCTTCTGTTCTGCTTGCAGCTAGGAAACTCAGGAACACTTCAAACTGGAGCAGGTCTCCTGAGGTCTGGCCTGGTCCTGATACAACCCTTGAAGCCTTAAGATCATGAAAGTAACCTGAGGCCTGGAGGCTCTCATACTATGAGCTTCCTGAGTGACTCCTATCCTATGGATAGGGCACTTTTGGGGTTCTGGAATCTTTACCCAAATATATAACTTTACAGATAACTAAAAAAATCTAATGAGTATCTTGGGACTTGGATTTTCTGTACTCCAGAATATTGTAGACTGAACTGATACTCAGGATTATTTGAATTACCAGCAAATTTTCAAGTGGTTGCTTTACCAAGTTAATGTCATTTCCTCACTTCTGTGTGCTATCAGGTATTTCAGAATATGCACAATAGTTCTATAAAAACAGATAGGATTGTGTACTTTGTGTGCTAGATATATATTCTATCAAATTCTGCAACAGATTTTAAATGTAAATCTAATCAATCACTGTCATTTGTTGTATTTTAAGGTCATGAAAATGTATGGAATTCCTTTTGAAATTTAAGATAGAGTAAAAAAGGGAAAGGGTGAATTAAGGCCACAATATTTCTTTTGCCTCTTCTGCCATTTAACTTATACAAGTGACCTTCCTGGATAGATCATGTATAAATAATATGTAAGTATTAAGTTATAGAAATTAAGGTAATTATTGTTAAGAAGAACCTTACTGTTTCAGACAGCTATATACAATGTCCAAATCATTTGCAAATTAATCTGGCAAGCTTCAGCAATTGTGCTAACGACTGGATACTCTCCTGGAAGTGCATGTTCACAAAAAGATCAGTTCCTATTTCTGGACAGGTTACCACTCATCTACCACATGGATGAAAAACAATAATGTCCATTCCTTCCCTTTAACATTGTGCTTTGGAATCAGATCATACTAGGCAGGCAAAAATGCACACAGCTAATTATTTTTTATAGTAGTATCAACACACCCCTGCTACCTACTGCTGGTACTACTATTATACCACTGTAACCGCTCATTCTCCGAAGTGAGACAAGCCCTCTGAGATGGAGACAAGTCCTTTAGTGGAGGTGATAAGGTCTCCTTGTTCAGCTCAGCTTGTGTAAGAAATGTTCACCTATGAAATGGCCATATGAGGGAGTGATGCTTCCTTACTCAGATGGGGATCACCCCTGAGACTCTGCCTTATTTAGCTTCATGATCTAAATATCCCAACAAATCCATGCTATAAAAAACATATAACTGAGATGGCTTTGTGTTGAAACGTTATAGGTTTATTATTATTCTGTATTTCTTATTCTTTGGCTCAGAAATATGATTTGGAATCAAATGAGTATGCCAATAGTAATAAGTTAATTTGAAAACCTAACACTTAAGCTTAGGTAAATATATAACGTAGTCATCAATTTCCTTGTCAAAGAATTGTCCTTGGGTTAAAAGGCATAATATAAATAACATAATTTGGGGACTTGGACTGACAGTAATTCTAATCCCAGTCCTGATTATTAACACCTTGGGCTGGAGCTCCTGAACCACAGTTTTCTTTCTTATAAACGGAACATAGCAATATTTTCTCACATATTTTTTGAGGGTGTTAAAAAAGTGACTAAAACTGCACTGCATAGAATCTGGCATTTTAGTTCTTTGCTCAACGAATGTTTCTGCCCTCCTTTCTTCTAAAGGGCTTCTGAATTCTGCCTTTTTTTTCAAGAACATGACTTTCATTTAGTTCAACCAAATACTGTCAGACTGAGTCTGACAGAAACTGATCATTGTTAGATATCTAAATGTGATTGCAGTAAAATAGATTCAGTTTGGGTCTGAACCTGTGACTTATGGATTTTGCAATTAAAATTTTTGGGCTAATTGTGCAGACAGAAATTTAGTCCCTGGCAGTTTCCATAATTATTTTTTTTGACATTGAACACGTATGTGATGCAAATAACCAAACAAGGTAATTACTTTTCTTTGCTTTAGATATTTACTAGGATTCTGTTGAGGTATATATATGCTCTTTTTTCCACAATATTTTCTTAAGGACAAACCAAACCATATAATAGAGTTTGTACAAGGCCAAAGTGCTTTCTTGTATAAGAGGTGGAAGTCAAATCTAGTTAAAAGCCTGCTTGAGTCAAGAAACTAGAAATCTAACTTGGCTTCCTCACAACCTAATTTTATAGTTTCCCATAAGTCACTTTTTCTCAGTTTTCTTGTCTATAAAATAGGCAGGAAACAGAGGGATCATTCAACTCCTTATATGTGGACAATTTTCGGATTTGCCCTAAAATTTTTGATTTTTTAAATTAAATAGTGGGATAATATAGTTTCCCTATGTGCCCAATTTAAACATTCTCTTTTTAAAACGTTATAAAAAGAAATCATGCCCTGATCCCAATTTGTTTAATGACATATTCTTCTAGTTCCTGGAAAGACCATTGTCTTCTTAAACAAAAGATGTTTTATTAAATAATCAGTCTTTAACTAGGTATTTTCAAAATCAACTAGTTCTTCATGTATCATTTCTCTAATTTAAACCACTGATTTGTAGTAAAGTTTCTTAGTGATCCAGCAGGGGGTGCTATCTAAGACGACTGGCAGGAGGTATTGTGCTACTATTTGTTTTGGAAGTGATCTAGCTACTTATGTCACTTCCATACATTCATTCCAAATCTGTGCTGTGTCTAAAACGTATTTTAATGACTATGTAAAAACTTAAATGTCATCTAGAATTGCAATATTGTTAATGAGTTTGGCACAGTCAGCCTTGTCTCTAAATAATTTGTAAAGAAGCATGTTAAGAGTTGCTATTTTAAAATACCACCCTTTTTGGTTAATCTCTTTTTCTCAAACATGCAACTTGGCTAATTTGGAGATTATAATTATAAAAGAATATTCTTATATTCCATTAAGCTTAAGGCTATAAAATACAGAACCCAACAAATTATTTGAACCTCACTTTATTGTGCATTGGCTCTAAAAATTGGTGGTCTTACTTGAATCCTGCAGTTTCCTGTAATCATAATTGGTTTAGCAGAGTGCCTACATTGCTAATCTCTCTCATTTTTATGTTGATTAAGCCTTTCCTAATGGATTTAGTGCATACAGAGAAATGAGAAAAGTAAAAGAAATTATATTGCCAGTGAATTTAAATGAACCCTATGTGAGACCAAGGAGGGCAGCTTGCAAATCCATATTATTAAAACTTGAAATTAATTCCCAATCTTCTTGAGGAGAATAGTTATAGGTTCAGTGATAATGATGACAATAATAACACATTTAGACGGTGTGTTATGGCTTACACATCAATTATCTCTTTGATTCCTCACCAAGAGCCTATGTGACAAATGTTTATTTCCATTCTTAGCTAAGGAAACTGAAGCTCAGAGAGGGGTTGAGACAGTAGTCGAAGTTCACACAACTAATAAGTGGCACCACTGAAGCTTAAATTCAGATCATCTGAATTTATTTCACACTATTTTTGTACTCTTTCTACTTTATTCGTTGTCCAGTAGTATTCTTGCACTTCAAAAGTAAGGAGTGAATCTGGAGCGACAGCAGGCACATTGCCATAATGTGAAACCATTAAGAGCTACTTACATTAGCAGAGAAGCTACGGCAGTCGCCCCTGGAAACAGCTGCCTGGTACCTTGCCATCCGCTCCTTCAGGGAGACCACCTCGTGGAGGTCTGACACACCGGCGCTCTGAGCAACACTGTCTTCCGCGGCCCCACTTGTGGGTTTATGAGGGCCAACAGTCACTGAAAGCAAATGTAGCATGCTTAGATATATGTCAAACTTGGAAAACAAAGTAGCATCATCTTATAATAGTGAAAACATTCATGATATTTGATCAAAATAGATGGCAATATTTCATAGTATTTTCCATGTTTTGTGGTCACCGACTTCTTCAAGATTTCAAGCAAAGTTATAAAATGTGTATAGGAGCATATGCTTATGTAAACAGTAAAAAAAAGAAAGTATCACCCCTCTTATTCCTGCAGTGAGAAATAGTAATTTAGTAATAGATATAGAATGTTAATAATTAGCATTATTCAAATACTGACCATATTGGATTTATGCTAAATTCTGCTAGTATTATCTTATTTACCTCTTTAACAACCTTGTGAGGTAGGTGCTATTATTTTCCAAAATTTATGTATTAAAGGAACAGATTTATAGCAGTTAAAAAACTTTCCCAGAATCACACAATCAGTGGCAGAATATGGTTTGGCTAAATCTTTAGCAAGTCTCAGAATTGATCCTGGCTTTTCTCCTCATCCCTCAATTCTCAAAGAGATAACATTCAGCTAAAATATGCAAGAGCTATGAAAGTTACAGATCGGATTTTTTATTTTATGCATAGTGGGATGTATTACATAAGAAATAAATAATAGTATCATCAGCAATAGCTTTTTCAGTAACCCATTTCAGAGAGCCTGTTATTTTCCCAGTTAAGTCATCTACTGGCAAAAATGCTGGATAGTAGGAATTACATACCTGGGAAAAGAACAAAAAACTGATTGCACCATCACAGAATAAAAGCTATTAGAACAGAAAGAACTAGAAGATTGAGTCATACCCAATCTAACCAAATCCTTTTAGGCATAAATAATATGCCTACATATTTCTGTGTGTGAAAGGAACATAAGGCTCCACCATAGTTATGTCAGTGTTCATGGTCATTTAACTTACAATGTGTCAGAGCTGGCCTCGAAACTAGATTTTCTTATTCAATCTAGTGCTCTTTGTTATGTTATCACTCTCCTTGATGGGTTACTCTTCATTCTTAGATGATTTTGATTCCAAGCTCATTTTGTGCATATGAAATTAGGATATATGGCATATGTGCTTGTGTGTGTTTATTTATATTCATCATTAATTTGTGCTTCCTCTGCCTTTCACGTTTAAGTTTGGTAGTTTCTGGGACTCACAGAATAGTATCTTTGGGGTACTTTATTATTTGGATTGATTTGAGTTAATGGCTGAGAACCAAAGGCCCAAATAGCCTGAGATAACAGCCATCCAAGCCACTCCCTCTCTCCCCATGGACCCATCCTATTGAATTGTTTGCTTTTTCTACTGGTATCTTCAAGGTTTATATACACAATAGCAGTTAAGAACATCTTCTCTGGCTTAGAAAAAATCGAAAATTATTTTAATTTTTATTTCCTCCCTGAGCATTTGGTTTTCCAGGGCGACTTCTTATTCATACAAACATTTTCATTTATTTTAATTAAAATCGCACTAATATTTTGTTTAACAGGACATCAAAAAGATACCAAATATAAAGGAACAAGATGTTGTACAATGGAAATGCTGTGGTTGTACAGTACTGATATGTTCACAACAAATGTCAGTTATCTTTGAAATTCACCTGTCATCCAAAACCTCATATCCACATAAAAGTGTACTCCTCCAGTTGATTCTGATAAAAAGAGATTTCCACAAATTACTGAAAGTCTTTCATATGCTGAATAAAAGATATCCTTAATTTTCCCTGTGGATTATCTATCTGCAGAGATAAATTCAGTTTATATTCAACTGTATGGTTCTCACTTTGTTGTGAATGAACATTGTATAGATTTTATTGAATATAAGGCCCTACAGTTTTTCCACATTTAAATATAAATTTTATTTTGTGTGTTATTCATAAAAAATGTCATTCGTTTAGTAACCTCAATAGAAAGTCAGACTAGTTTTGCTAAAATTTACAAATAGTATTTATTTTTCAAATATTTTTCTACTATTTTAATGTCAAAATGCCAGCATTACTGGTCAGGAAAAAAAATCAGTGGGCTGAGTATTAAGAAGTTTAAATCCTATTGCCTCATGACCTTTTAGGATGATCACACACACACAAAATGCTACATTTCTCTCTCTGTCTTCCTTCTCCATTTCCCTTTCCCTCTCCTTCTCTCTCTCTCCCTATTCCCTCCCCCTGTTTCTCTCCCTCTCCTTCCCCATCCTCCCTCTTTCCTCTTTTTCCCTATCAGTAACTGAATATTCACATAGGGTCATGGGGTAGAAAAATTACCTTAAGTCAAGAGGCTATCCATGGGGTTTCCTAACATTCTAACTCAATGTCTTATTCTCTTTGTATGAAATATAAGGTGATGCCCCATTCCTTGTCGACTATATGCAGTCACCTGGTGCTGATAACACCTATTGTTAGTTTTTAGGGGTGTGTGGGGAAGAAGAGAGGAACATGAGATGCCTGACCTTATAATACCCTATTTCAAAAGACTTAGATGCAATTGCAATTGAAAAGCAATATAAAATAACTTATGGGTATTTTTAGAGAAAAAGGAGAAAAAAATAAATATGCTTACTGTCATACAATACTTGTGGAAAAATAGGGAATGATGAAACCATTAAGTATGCAAGTCAGATAAGGTAGAAACAAGCTAAAAGGCTAAAGTGCTCTGTGAAAAAGAGGAAAGGAAAAATAAAAATTTCAGATGACTATTTCTGTTAGAAAGCATTATAAATATTAATATTACAAAGTCATTTTGTTAGAGGTTTCTTGTCTCTGAGGTTTAGAGGTAATTCATTGTGCAGATGAGCAAACAAAAATCCAAAGAAGTTCAGTGAATTCTCTCAAATCTCCAAAGTTAATGTTATAGTTGGGTTTAGAATCCATTGTATCCTAAATATGAAAGCATTCATTTTTTCACTTATAAGAAATTAACTGCCAATCCATTCAAAATATTAATCCCTTGCATCATAAAAATAAATCCCACAAAGCTGAAAAAAATAGAGAAGCACATTGAAAAAATAAAATACTAAAAAATTCAATCTGTTATTATGATAACTATTAGGTATGAAGGATAAGAATGTCTTTTATAAAGATTCTGAGGTCCTTGGGAAGAAGATTTACACTCTGATTTATTTGCAACACAAAAATTTATGTTCTACAAATAAATTAAACCTATGCCCATCACTATATTCTTAAATTTTGAAAAGTTATGTGACTAAAGGTCGTTTTTCTCTAGCTTCAAATATATACTTTTATTCTGCAATTTTTTAAAAGCAAACTAATTAAATTAATCAATAAAATTTGACCAGGTTACAGAAATTCATTATGTCTTCCTGAATTTTACTTTCAATGGAGAGTCCATGTTTAAAGCATGTTAAAAATGCATAGTGGTACAATATTTATAAGGTAGAATACACTTCCTTTCTTGACCAATTATTCACATGCCTGCAGTCAGTAAAAGGGACTGCATAATCATCTCTCTATGTTTTCTTGGAGGTGATACAAATGATAACTTTAAGATGTCAGAGGTAAAAAATAGTGAGGAATAGTCAATATAATTACTACATACTAGAATTTTCTCCTAATTTCACAATTTCTGTAATCAGAGAAAGAATTCTTATGAATGAGTAGAGATTAATATTCACCAACATTTCAGAAATAATCATTGATACATTTGTTATGAACCATTCATAACTAACTGCTCAGAAAACTTCAGATTTGAAATTCAGAGATTTATAAAAATGATAAGTTCTTACAACATTAAGAAGGGAAAAATCTATTCTTATTTTCCATTAAATGTTTTATCCAAAAATCTGAAATAAATTATGAATATGATCCTAAACTCTTCATAGAATAACACATTGGAAATAAAGAACAATGGCTTAATACATAGAACTTAGGTCTATGTTGCTAAGAAATACTGTCAGAATCTAAAAGATGTCTATGCAGAAGATACCTAATGTGGCAGGGTTCACAAGGCCAAGTGCTTTTTCACTATCTTATTTCTAAAGCAAGTTTCCATCTCATCATGTTTTCTAAATGTAAATATTTCTTATTAATTTTGAAATATGAAAGACATATTTTCAAATTTTAGTTGAGGATAGATAAAGTTTTATGGGAAGGTTGGCTGTGTAACAATACAATTAATGATATTGGATGAAATATACAGAAGTTACCAAAAATGTATACATTTCAATAAAGGAAAAAACTACCAAAATTGTAATCCTCTATATATACCAATAACAAAAGATGAATACAAGTTATATTTGACTTCTGCAATTACAGAAGTGCTCAAATTGGTTACCGTCAGTGTCCAGACACTTCTGATTGTGGCTAACAGCTCTTAAAATGTGTGTGTATATTGTGTATATTGTGTGTGTGTATATATGTATATTTGGCATCCTTGGTGTATATGTATACCAATATATATTGAGTACTAGATGCTTTAGCTCTGACTTGCTTAAGCATTATTTAAATTTGTGTGCATCACTTCCTTTCTTTTCCCTTTTATCTGTCCAATATGAACTATGCAAAAGTCTACAAAATAAAGTGGAAAACACTTTGAACTCTTCTTTTTTGTTTTTTTGTTTTGTTTTGTTTTTGCTTTTTTGAGTTGGAGTCTCATTCTGTAGCCGAGGCTGGAGTGCAGTGACATGCTCAGGACTACTGCAGCCTCAGCTTACAAATTTTATTTATTTATATTAGAGATAAGATCTCACCAAGTTGCCCACACTTGTCTTGAACCCCTGGGCTCAGGCAATCTTCTTGCCTCTGCCTCCCAAACTGCTGGGATTACAGACATGAGCCACCACACCCGGCCTGAACTTTTTATTTCATGAAGAGACTATTTGATAGTGTCTGGGTTTTTAAGATGGTATGAGCTGTGTCTGACTGACAGCAGAGACCTCACAAAGGTGAAATCATAAGACAAGAAATTTGCCAAAGATTGGAAAAGAACCGGAGACATTCAAGTATTTTAAACGAATTGAAACACACATTGAA